ATGCTTAATTAGCGCCTACGCTAATGCTTCTTAGTCAACTAGGATATACCGTTTAGTAGCTTAAGTATTATTATCTTCGGCGACTTTTGTTAGCTCGTACTAGTATTCGCCTAGCTACTATTCCAGTCTCGGCCTAAAGGCGCTAAGAATATCGCCGGCTAAGCGATATACTACGCTTTTAGTACTACGCTAGTCCTTAAAGCAAACATGAGGCAGGAGGGTAGTAATCCGGACTAGGTCGCCTTTCGTAATACTCTCGTAGCTATCCGGAGTAGCGACGTCGGCCTCAATTATTAGTAGACTCTTATATAACGCTTAACTAGTGTCCTAAGTATCGACGAGATCTCGTCTTTCGACGATACTATCTGCATCTACTTTATAAACGCCGATGTAAATAAGCTAAACTACTAGCGGCTCCGTAATATCGGCAACCCCGTCCTTCTAATCCCTGCTTCTTATAACCGTCCCGATGTCTCGACAGTCGGTTCTAAGAACGTTTATAATCTTAAGAACGAGCTTAAAGTCTCTATTAGTTGTAAGGTTATGCTCCTTACTAATTTATAGACCGAATTTGGCCTCGTTAATAGTTATTAGGGGATTCTCTACGATATCGTCTAGTCGCCCGATACTACTAGAAAGAACCTGCGCTAAGAGCTACCTCGCTGTCTCCTTATCGCTTTCTCTAGGTTAAAGGACGGCGCCCCTAGGCTATTCCGTATCGGCAATCGAATAGTTCTACCTATCTTCTATATACGCCGCGCGGTAGATAGTATAGAGAGCGATTAGCGGGAACAGTTTCTACTTACTGTCTCCTATGCTTTAATAGTATATAAGGCTTAGGGTATAACGCTAAACCGCGCTGTCGTTAAGCTAGGTCCCGAGTTCTTATCTAGTTTAACCTATATTGCGTTCTTACGAGTAAAAGAGTTCCGTAGATTAATAATCGAGGGAGCTTTCGACTACGACTGCCTCTAGAACGAGCTTACTAAGGGCGCTATTCCTCGTATAAGAGTAGTAGATAAACTACGACGCCGCAACTAGTATTTACCTAACCCTCCTATATCGCTATAGCCTAGCTCTCGTTTCTTCGACTTTAGCGGCTTCTCTAACGCTCTCCTATATAGTCTTAGTCTTAGTAGCAACAACTAACGCTAGATTACTTCGGATTCTCGCGATAACGAGACGGAGGGCTTTGAATTAGCTTCTAGTTACGTCTACCTACTATCTAACGTTAGCCCTAAGCCGTTGCCGCTATATAGGGCGAATTACGTCCGTAGTTATTACTAAGAGGCTCTCGAGAACCGTCGCTTTGTCTATAACCTGCAGTATTATAAGCAACGTCTTTAGTAGCAGTTATATACTACTAATCTAGCAATATTGCCCCCTAACGGCGCTACGGGCGAGCCTTCTGCCCGCGTCGTCGCTATACCGCTTATACTTATACCTAGACGCGCGGCAGACCTTAATAACGATAAATTAGTAGATCTTACTAATCGCCGCGCGAAAGATAAACTAGCACTTTCTAATACCGACCTAGACAATCGCTTAAAGGATGTTATTGCTCTCGCTATATCCTTCTATTGCTAACTCTACCGTTCTAGCATCTTCCGCGATCCGGAAGTAGAAGCTATACTATAGGATATATTTAGAACCGAGGCGCTTTATCCTACTAAGCGCGATTCTACTATTAATCGCAAGGAGTGTCTTTAGACTATATAGAAGTATCCCGTCGACTATCCGATATATTACATTACCGATCTTGCTATAGAATTTAGTAAAGAGGCAGTCTACGGTAATTATCCTCTAAGCGTTAACCCGAATATGCAGTTCCCTTTTAAGAAGCGAGGGATCCTTCCTATATTACTAAGGTCGTATATACGCATAGCTCTATATCCGGAAGAGGATAACTTAGACTACTACCTTGCCTAGTATATAGCAGAAGACATCGACTAACTCGTACGCCTTAATGCCTACCTACTTCTAGGTTATTAGTTTATTACGCCTATATACGGAGACTAAGAATCGGTGTAGTATGTAGAGACTGTAAATAGTATAGAATATAGCATCGATATATTCCGTATAGCCGTTAAAGTAATCGCAGACTTTGACTTCCCGATAGTATCTAATAACAAGCCTATTTCTTCTAAGTAGTAGGATGCTTATAAGACTAAACATACGCGAGTCTAGCACTAGCCTAATACTAATATACTACTTGTATACCTTCTTAAACTCGGGTTTATAGAGATTAGGCGTGTTTCCGCTATATACTTTTCTACGTTATACTTTATCGCTAGACTAATTGATCCCGTTAATAGTATTGTCTAGACGTAGAACACATAGGGTAGCATTAATAGCAAGCGTACAATTAGTCCTTTTAGAGGCCGGTTTATTACCGCCCTTACTAATCTCCTATCTTGCTTTCCGTATACATAGAATACTCGTTAGCTAAAGCTAGCTACCTAGACTTATATTAAGACTGCTAATAATGCAGTTATATAGCAGCCTAATCCCTATAGCTGCGGGCCTCTAGTTATAGAGTATATTATCTTCTATCTTGCTAGTAAACAAATTCTTGCCTATACTTAGGATCTCTATCCGTACTATTAGGGTCTCCGACGTCGATACCTTTAGGTTATCTACGACTAAATCGATAATAAGGCCTATGTCTACGCTCGGTCTGCTTAGAGCAGACAGCTACTAGAACCTAAGGCCTTTATAACCGCTTTCTAGGAAGCTATTCGCGATAAGTATACTAGAGCCGAGGCCGACCGATATGTAGCCTACGAGGCGTAACAGCGCTAGCGAGAAGCTATACTCGAGTATAAGCGCTAGGAAGCCCTTACTGCCTTCTAACGCTAGCATGCCGCTAATATATAAGCGGGTCTAGTAGCCGTTAATCTAACTGTGTAGGCTCTAATCGATCTAGCTACTCTAATAGGTTCGCTAGACTTCCTAGACAGCGATAAAGTACAAGACTTTAGGAGCGATAAATAGAAGAATTAGTTTAAACATTTAATATAGGTTGCCCTAAATTCCTTCTTTATTATAACTTTTACTTAGGCTACCTACTATAGAGCCGTAAGCACAGATCGCGATTATAAGCGGCTTGCCGCTTATAGTCGTAATCGCTTACGCCGATTATGCAGGTAGTACGACGCTTACTAATACGCCCGTTTAGCCTAAGTTGCTCTATAGATACTAATAGCTTTACTAACACGCCTTTTTAGCCTAAGTTACTCTATAGATACTAATAGCTTGCCTTCTCGCTAGCAAAAGTAATTAATACGATAACGACGGCGCTATACTATTAGCTCGGCGGAGTGCGAAAGCTTCGCTCGCACTTAGTAGGCACGCGCAGCCGCCTACAAGCACATTTTAGCCGGTGTTTTCTGGATTTACGGAGCACTGGAAGCAATTCGTTCGGACGCTGGCGTTTATGAGGTGGCAGATCTGATACCCTGAGCACACCAGAGTACCGTACATCAGCCATACCCATAATATCTTTGAAGCAATTCGTAGGGCACGCGTGAAACCCTGTCTGCGAGGCTTGGCGCGGATGGATCAACGATGCAACTTCTCTTTCCTTCTGCATCTTCTTGCTGAACATCACAATGAGTACACAGGATAAAGGCCTTGACGGAGCCCCAGCTTAGGACCGAATGGATTGTCAATACAATACTTCGTCTTGGTCTGGGCCCTACACAGGATGTTTTGTGGCTCCGATTATGCCACCACGCGCCTCAGGATGGCAAAGACTTCGAACAGCTCCATTATGCAAGCCTGAGCACTTCTCACTTCCTCGCTCGGCATGTACAGACCGAAAAATACTTGAGCGGCAATCCCCTCTATGAAGATGAGGCTGCGCGTGCTCGCGTCCGTGAGATCGAGCGGATGCCGATTCAGGCACAGTCCTGGTTTAAGAAGTGGCTGGGTAGTAGCCCACGGACCGAAGATGCGAAAGAGCTGCGGTAAGTGATGATATCTTCTGCACTGGGTACACTCGATTGTATTGTGCAAAGCAAAAATCTCCTCGCAGCCCGCCCGTCCGGACCTCTGGATTTTATGGTTCACGGATCGACTCTTGGTCTTTGAAGTTTGCACCCATACCATGCTCGCACAATTCTCGCATTGCAGAATTGCTCGCCAGGAGCGCTTATGGTGGCAGTAAATGCGTGTTTTGTGGAAGCGTTGACCGCTCACGAAGAAACTTCCCTAAAGTCCCGGAAAGCACGCTGTCTTGATCGAACTCGGGTGGGAACACAGGCAATCCTGCAACGGAGCTACTGATCGAGCAAGCTCGGTGAACAGCGACAAGAGGGTCTTGGGGCTCACTAGTCCACTCGGTGTGCTCCTCTCAGCTCCATGGACTACGCCATCGTCTCAAGGCCTGGATATTCGTACTTCCGTAAGATTTCTGGAGCCTGGCCAGGTGATGCAGCAAGGACTGGCCACAGATCCTCACGATGGCTCTTGATCCCATAATCTTCCTTCGACCTGATCACAAAGCCAGCACGTTCAGACTTCTTGTACACTGATGTCCTCATCCACCCTCGTGAGTGTTCTCTGAATCTATGCAATACGCTGTTCAGGGCAATCTGCCCGATCTGGACGGACTTGGCCTGATTGCCGCAGTTGAAACAGCTGAAATGCGACCTTGGGAATGCTGTCGTGTCATCCGTATCTTCAACGTGGAGGACTTTTGATCATGTTGAGAAAACTCGCTAAATTTTGAGCATAGGCGCGACGACATTGATCGAGCCACGAAGTAATGAGACCTTCGGATGCATCGTAGAATGAAAGTCGTAAGACTGGAGGGGACGGGGCATAGAACGTCTTTCAACTTCTGATTATGAGAAACTGTAAGGCAAATTTGAACATAGAGGGCCAAAAAAAATTTAATTGACAAGCCTAACGACGGATCAACTACTCTCACAAGACTTCATCCCAAGTTGCCAGTCCCAGGAAACTTCCCAGCTTACAATCAAAAAGCAAAAAGATCGTGACCGACGCAGGGCTCGAACCTGCAACCTCTTGATCACGCAAGGAATCGTAGTCAAGCACTCTACTTTGTGGGAGTTAGCAGTGTGAAGTGCAGGTTTTGATGAGGATAGACTAACCCATTGAGCCAGCCGGCCTGAAATCAACTGAGTTGATTGGCTGGTTGGGAGACCGAAAATATTGAATATATACATCAGCTAAGCTTGGCGCTGATAGGGCAGGGCTGTTACCCTGCGACTGAGGGACCGTTTCGCGATTTCTCGGGGGCGGGCCGAAGTGGAAAAGTGCCATCAGGCCCTGTTCTCTTTCGTAATATATAGCATATTAGTCGAGATTAATGAGGTCGATTTAACCAGCGCATATTGTCTATATTATTAATGAGAACAAGACTAGTTTTTAAGCTTTCTAGCCCTTAGCGGCGGCACTAACCTTAGTTAGTAGTGCGCGTATAGAAGGTGTCCATTTCTATGCTCTTTTAATGGTCCATTTGTATAGCAACGATGGCTCCAAAGTCGTCTAATAAGAAGAAGGTGTCTACGAAGAATAAATATAGCTCTCCGAATAGCGCGTCGAAGAAGCGTAAGCGCTCGTCTACTACGAAGAAGAAGGCCCCGAATACGACGCGTAAAAAGGCGGTGCTATAGCGCAATAACAATATGCGAATATTAGTCCGTTTAGGCGAGTTGGTAAAGGAGTTAAAGGACGAGAAGAAGATAATAGAAGCTAATAGATTTAAAGATAAACACCTAGGCGACTGTGCGAGGACCCTTACTACCGAGTTTGGTATTCTTATCGACTTCCGCGCGGTCGCAAACTAGGTAAAGGAGTTGAAGAAGCGCTATAAGAGGTACAAGGTCTATTGTAGACACTTAAGCGGTTAGACCTTCCTCGAAGGTAAGGCGCTAACTAGTATGCTCGAGAAGGAGGCAGAGCACTTTAAGAGGTATAAGAAATGTAGGCCATTCGAGCGCAAGTTGCCGCTATTATATAATGTCTATAAATACGTATAGAAGGACAATTTAGCGACTAGTGAGATAGCGAAGGAGGCAGCTAAGCTTAAGAAGGAGGCGGATACGGACGAGGCGGCGGAGGCTTACGGCATAGTCGTCGTCTCGAGTAATAGCGGCTCTAGATCTAATAAGGATAGTAATAATAGCGGCGGCGCTTCTAATAGTAAGGATAGCGGAAGCGATAGATCTAATGTCGAGAGTAGTATAGAAACTACGGATAATAAGAAGCAGGCGGCTATACGAGCGAAGTTAGTATAGAGACTCGCAGAAGCCGCTACTATGCGCGAGTCTTCTACTACCGCCGCCTCGTCGTCGAAGTTAGAGAGTGTTACGAGGAAGCGCACCTACCGCAAAGAGGTCGTAACTAAGGTTAAAGAGACCGCGTCTTCTAAGGCTTAGAGTGATACAGTTAATCTTAAGCGCGCTATCGAGTTGTATAGAATAGTACGCTCTCGAGTATAGGAACCGCCGCAGAGCGAGCGTATAGTTGCGTTAACTCGACTAAAGTTGTTTACGGCGTACGAGAAGCTAGTGAATACGGACAAATACGTAATTAGAACGCAGGTTCTAGCTAGCAAGATAAACTGTAAGGATGTTATTGCCTTTAACGATACAGATTAGAGCTTTGTCGAGTATTAGTTGGACGAGAAGTTGCGTAAAGAAAGGAACAAGAAGGAAGAGCGAGAGGCAATAGCGGCTCCCTAAAGCTAGTATATTCTACGCCCATCTGCAACGCCTTCGTATAGAAGCTCGTCGTCGCAATACTACTTAACACTAACACCTTAGTATAGTTATTATAGTTAGCAGGAGTCGCAAGGGTACTACTCTAGACCGCTATTACCTAGTATGCAACGATTTAGCTAGTATAGTTGATATTCGTAGTGTATTATAACACTGAACCTGCTGCAGTATTTAGGATTTAGCGCTAGGCTTAGCGGGGTTGTTATATTTGTCGGCAGAGTATAGTAGATAGGTCCGATAATACTAGTGGGATTTCAAGCTATTCCGAAGTCTTAGTTTTAGTAGAGGTTTGGTGAGCTTCTCGATTACATGCATAGCTTAGCATCGAGCTAGTATTTTCGCGCTTTGTTAGTATCTCCAACCCTACCTCGAGTCTAATTATTAGAGAATACGACCCCGCCTAATTATTAAATTCTTTCTATCAACAAACTATTAAAATGCGTGTGCGTATCGAATAGTAGTCTTAGCGGGGATTATAGCCAGTTTCCCTATACTAAATCGACCAAAATCTAAGCATTATAATACTAGGCAGTATACCGGTGCATCTAAGGAATTCGCGTAACAAATCCGAAGGTTATAACAACTTCTTCTACCTATAACGACCCCCTTTAACGGACAATCGCATAGTACTGCTGCTACATTGCCTTAGCGACCCTATTACGGAAGGCCTCTATCTCATAGTCGGCTCTATACCTATATGCGTTGTCTATACGAGCGTTACTATCGTCCGGCTTCCAATTCTAGCGCTCTGTTAAGCAGTGCTGTCCGTTCTTGTTTATGAAGTTATAAAGGACAATTAAAGCATTAACAAAGCGAGCATTTATATAGATCTTATAGCCTGCGTTTGGACCGTCTTTAAGGATAGTCTAGCGCATCTTCAAGATGCTAAATATGCGCTTAATAACGTTGCGATACTAAGCATAGCGGAGGTTGAACAGCTCTTCCTTCGTACGAGGCTTCGTCTGCGTAGTATTAAACTCTCGAAGGTAATACCGTATCTTTAGATAAGGCACGAGAATACGGCGATTGTTCTTCGAATAGCCGCTATCTGCGAGATAATAGCGGCCTTTAGGTATATAGAAGCTTTTGCTTACTGCTAGGTCTATTACCTCGATATCGTTTGCTAACCCTTCGTAACTAGCGAGGACATAGACGAAGTTTATCTCGAAGTCGTACACCGCTAACACGTTCTAAGACACGCCGCCCTTGCGATTACAATAGTTGTCTAGATTCACGTTCTTCGGTTTAATAGGCACGTAAGAGCCATCTAGCGTACCGAGACAACTAGCAAAGAATAGCTAGAATTTAGTATCGTCGCAATACTAAGGCGGCGGCGTTAAGGTCTCGTCCGGCAGGTAGATAAGGTCGCTGTAACAACAACACAGTAACCGCGTTACTCGATTAATAGCCTTACTAACCGCGCTCGTCGACAACTAATAGATACGGCGCAACTGGCGATAAGTCGTCCGGTGCGCGTAATAATCTAAGAATATTACTACCGCTATTTCCGGCTTTACCTTGCCTCTGCTACTAAGCCCCTTATCTACTAGATAATCGACTAACTTGCGCAGAACAGGTTGCCGCAGTCGAGTCGTCGCTAGACTATATTCTTCCGGTCTAAATAGACACTTATTTGTCAACTTCTTGCCTCGCTATAGATCTACTAACGCAGTCGCCTTGCCGACCGGTCTTCGTCGTTCCTTCGCCGCAATACGATCGCTCCGCCGCACCTACGAAATAGCTATCTTCTGCACTATTATCGCCTCTACCGAGTCCTTAATAACCGCCGTAACCGTCTCGTTAAATAGGCGCTCGAGAAACAGCGACTCTTCGTCTATATACCTCCCTATATACTACGGCGACTACGCGTCTCGAAATCGCGACTTAGGCGCGTTAAGAGCTTCTAATAGCTACTATACTACTTTCGGAAGGTCTATAGGTGCTAAGCTAGTAGCAACCCCTAGCAAAAGTGTACTGCAATACGCCTGGAGCGTATTACGATTCTGCTAGTTAACTCTGCTTAATCCTGCTATTAAAATGCGCCTATACCTACTAGAAGTAGGCAGCGAGCAGCGAGATTAGGTAGCTTAGAGTTAATACTATATTATCTATAAGAACAGCTATATTAAGCATATTAATGGACGATAATATGCTATATATTACGAAAGAGAACAGGGCCTCAATGTAGGCCTATTCTTCGACCCGACGAACTAAACTGCCGAGACGAGATAGGCTCTATTTGGTCTAATTTTTAGACACGTAGGCTATATTTGACCTTACACGCCCTGGGATGTGTGGATGGCTGTGCGGGTCTAATTTTAGTAATAAGGAGGTCTATCCTAGTATAAGTTTCATTGTTGGTTCGAGGGTGAAGTGTTGTTTGCCTGATAAATACGAGTACGAATAGTGCTTGCGGTCGCGTCTTTCTAACGTGAGTACTCAATACAACCTGACCTCTCCAGTCGTCAACTAGCAAGACCACAATGCCGTCGATACTTGTCTACGCTACTACCATTATCGCTCTCGCATCAACCATTTCGGCAACGATTGGTGGCATTCGATGTACTTGCACAGATATCAAAGCTTGTAAAGCGAAGGGAGCTTGGGGATGTACAGCGATTACAGATGACGGCGGACAGACAGCAACACAGCCAAACTGCGTCGTTCAGAGTCCACAATGTCGTGCCGCGTGCGACAACACAGGATTTACCTACAAGAAGTTCCAGTGAGTAGCGTACTTTCGCATTTTCGACCAGTTTTTGATGTGATATGCCAGGTCCACGGACACGCAGTGCGTGTGTAGCCAGCACGACGGGAGCTATGACCAAGATTGTTGAAGAGATGCGAAGTTCGTCTCAAGGAGGAGCAGTGAGTTCTGTGGTGACAGTGAAATACATGTGTGGAACTACCCGCAGAGGAGGCGGCAGGAACGGGGGCCTCGGACATGCAGGAGATCCACATAGAACTTCCGCTTTTCAATGGAACAACAAAGCAACAACAATTCATCACATAACAGCACAAACATGTCCAAACGATCTTCCGCTGACCATGACACACGCCTCGAAGCAACCTTCTTGGCCCTCCCACTAGAGCTCCGCGAAGAGATATATCGATTTGTGTACGGCGCCCTTCCTGAGCCACCAGTGCACCCATACGATGACTTTCCGCCAAATTTCGACTTCGAACAATCGCTCGCCCTTCCGCTCCTCAATCGCCAGACACGCCTCGAGGTGCAGACGCTCTTGAAGAGAGAGTATCCTCCCGTAACGTTCTACTTCGACGACGTCCCCACACTCTGCGACTGGCGCCAAGAGCTCATACGCCAACGATGTCATAAAGATGCCCGCTTCCTTCTTCGAAGCAGGACCGACGCCCGTTCTCAACACCCACGAGGAAACATGGTCCAGGCAGACATTGAAGAGGTGATAGAAGACCAGCCTGGGTTCGAGGCTGTATGGAGTGGGTCCTTTGGCTACTACAGCTGGGATCAGCAAGAGCTTGATCTGTATATTGCCTACAAACATTCCCGCATTGAAGAGCCCAAGCGGGGAGAGCACAAGCAATGTCATTCGGAGAGGCAAGATTGCATCCCATTTCTCGAAGCAGCATACCCGGCCTTGCACAACTCACTACGTCTAAAAGGTTTTGCCTGGCAGCATATCGAGTTCCACGAAGACCTTGGGCCTCAAGACTATGCCGGAGGGCTGATTCTGGAGGGCAAGCTCTGTGACCTCAGGCTTGATGGCTACAATATTCATCGCGGTCGTTTCCGGCTGGCTGCTCATCTTGGTGAGGTAGAGTGGGATGCTGATACTGGGACCGATGATTCGGAAGAGTCCGGCGAGCTCACTACAGAGGAGGAGAACAGTGAAGAGGACAACACCGAAGCAGATGACGGCTCTTGAGTAAGAAGCTTTCTGCGCTCTTCGCGTCGTGGAGCACAGATTTGGGTAGCTGCAACCTCTCGGAGCAAGCCAAGTGATAGTGTGCTTGAATCTCACCCGGATACACAACTCTCTCCACCTCTCTTCAAGATCCCAGAGTCCGCGGCAGTTGATGCATTCGAGCCATCTTCCACCAGAGCACGAAACTCGGAAGCAAGTCAAGTGATTCCCATCTGCGTTACACCTCGGAAGCAGATTGCCTTCCGATGCTTTATGCGACTAAGCTGCTCTCATCCGTAATGACAGACCTGATGATCCGATGGGGTCAAGAGCGCACTTGGGTGTTCCACTGCTGGTTGCTCACTTGTCGAACTGGCTGACACCGCCATCACCATGTTTCGCTGCGAGCGCCCGCCACCAGAGCCCAAGTATGAGGCCGACCTAGAGAAGCTGGGACTCCGCCTCAAACGAGAAGTACCAATTCGTTAACATCGAAACCGGAGCTGTCTTCGACTTTTATCATACCGACAACGATCAAGCCAGTGAGCTTCGGAGAGAGGCATTCTACACTGCCGCCCGAGTGAAAATCGCTGAGGTCTTGCGCGAGCGCTATGGAATCCAGGAGTTATGTCCACATGATTCCGAGCTGCTGAAGTGAACCGAGCCGCTGAAGTGAATGGCAGTCTCTCGCGTACACCAATTTCGCCGAGAGCGGTTTGGAATTCTACCTGGAGTGGTCAACCTAAACGCAACTGCTCCTGATGGAAAGCTTCATTCATTCTCCGATTCACTCGCCGTTTCCTCCTCGTTGAGATAGCGTTTTGGCAACCAATAGCCGTGCCCAGATTTCTTCAAACATGGCATCACCGGGTATACTGCATCCGGATCTCTTTTCTCATGTGTTCAAGCAACTGTCACATTGTCTCCTTTCTCCTGAGTACAGCGGACAACCAGAAATCGTGCTTGTAGCCCTCGACTCGAGTCAGGATCAACTATGTGTCAAAGATCGGCCATCCCACATGGTCGCCACACTTTGCCCGTTATCAACAGCAGCAGTCAAGGAACCCAGCGGACTAAAGCAGCTGCCAGATAAGGATACGTAAGCGAGGACATCCATTGCGATATGATACCGGATGCTGATCGAAGGACACCTCTTCAACTGGGTCAGCGATGTCCAAGATGCTCTCATCATGATGTCGCGGAGTGTCACTAGCCGTCGACTGACAATAGATCAGCCAAAGCACACACCATCAATTCTGATATTTCAGTCTCGATTCTATGAGGTCAAACATGTCGTCTTCAATCAAAGAGAAGGATATCGAGGTCAAGGACATCAATACCAAAAATGCTGACGCAGCACTCAGCTTCCTCCACCATGAATGCGATGTGCCTGGGATCACAGCGGAATACGAGAAGCGACTGGTCCGCAAGACTGACCTCATAATCATGCCGCTCATATAGTGCTGCTATTGCCTACAATACCTCGACAAGACACTCATCAATGATGCCAACGTCATGGGCTTGCAAGAGAACGCCGGCATGACAAAATCTCAATTCAGTAACCTTGGCTCTGATCTTCTACGTCTCTTACCTTGCCTTCGAGTTTCCTCACGCATACGGCATGCAACATTTACTGACAGCGAAATATCTTGGAACGATGGTCTTCCTCTAGGGCGTTAACAAGCGCCTGCAAGGTCACAACCCGAGTTCTGCTCAGAGTCTTCGAAACATCCGTGACAGCTAGCCTCATTATCATTACTAGCATGTGTTACAAACGACACGAACAACCTCTACGAGTCGGAATCGGGTATTTCGGAACTGGAATAGGCACAATCTTTGGCAGCCTGATATCATTCGGCTTCCAACACGTCAAGAACTAAACCTTCTACAGCTGGCAAATCATATTCCTAACCGTCGTTCGGCCTCGTAACCTGTATTCTCGACATCCTAACATTCTTCTTTCCCCAAGTCATCCCGCCTAACCCACAAAGAAACAACTCTGCGCCATTCAGCGCCTGCCTCCGTGAAAAAAAGAAAACAAACATTTCAAACTCTCCCAGCTCATCGAATGCTTCGCCGTGGCTTCTCTTCCTCGTCGTACATGCAACAGCAAGTTCGGTCCCTACCTTAATGGTATTATCAACAATTTCCAATCCACAATCATCAAAAACATTTCGGTCAAGATTCCAAAGCCACTGCACTGCACTCCTGTCCATCGTCACAATCGCTTGTGCCACATACGTATCTTGCTGGAACATCCAACATGCGTTGAATCCAAGTCATCCTCCTCATTCTCGGTGGTGACAACAAAGCTGGAAAATTTCGCGGAAATGTACTTGATGGATGGCATTGGATCTGGTTTTCTTCTGGGGTCGAAGTGAGCCATGCCGGTCACATGAAAAAGGTCACGAGGAAGGTTCAGCTTTGCTTTGTTATTGGTTTCTGTCTTGGGAATATCACGGCGAAGGGTTCTCTGAATTCTCTCCCGGCTAAGGTAAGGATTATCGTAAGCTGTGGTGCTCCTGTTGTTTGAGGCGGATCATGTTAAAGAGAATCTTTGAAGATAAGAAGAAATTGAATGCATACGCTCCCAACATTTCCTGGCAGAGCGTAACCTCGCTCTTCCACTCCTCGATCCGGGTGACCGCAACTCCTCACGCCGCATTGCAATGAGGCCACAAAAAAGCGCCATCGTGAACGGGTAAGAGGCGGGAGACTACACCAGTTGGGCGACATTCTACCAGCTCCCACAGTTCTGTTGGTTTCTGTATCGTACGGTGGACACGCACTGGATCGAGCAAGAATTCTGTGTCCGCCTCCCCGACCCGTGGCACGCAAAGCTTTTCTGCCACCCTTACGAGGTCCCTGGCGGAGTACGAAACTACGACGCCATCCGCACGATGTCTCGGCTGAACGTCAACAAAGCGGTCCACCGAGGCGACCACGGCATGCCCCTTTCGAGTAGATATGAGGGAGGCGTCGTTGGTGAGAGCGATGTTGAGTTTAGGGATGTGGCGGATTGGAAGAACATGGAGTTCAGATATCGATTGTGATGGGAGAGGGAGGTTTGGGGGCGAGGGCGAGGGCGAGGCTCAAGACCACGCTTTCGACTTCCATAGCCCACGAGAAGCGGAAGATTTGGCGGTTGAAGTGGAGGACTTGGATGTTCACGATCATGATGGATTGCATTCAGCGTTCTGGAAGTTCACGTTAGTGCTTGACGATGCAAGACTTAGCTCGATTGATCTCGCTAGCAACGAGGATGCCGATGATACTGAGTAGGGATGACGGAATTGTTAGTGGAGTGGTGGTGGCGGACCCGGTGTTTCTGAGAGAGGATCAATTCTTTACAGGTACGAAGTTCGACCGTTGGGCTCTTACAGGATACGATCGCGCCCGCCGTACACTTCGAGAAACACACCGCCGATTAGGCTCGAGCAACTCACGCCGAGCGCCTATTGCTATTGAACTCCGTTACCGGGGCAGCAGCGGTGGTCCTTCAGCTCGATCGATGGTCGGCAAGTCGTAGATCGTAATGTAATCTTGCGCATCTACCATCAACGTAGAGCGAGCATTGCTGCCAAAGCCGGCTATCTGCCCCGGGCTCGTGATGCACAACTCCACCGTACAGTTGCAACAATGAATGGTGGCCGTCCCAGTCTCGAGCACCTTCAGGGGCGCATAATGCTACTGAAGCTCACAGCGTGGTCAGCAGCCGTGAAGCACAACTCCGCCGCATAGTTCGAGCGCTGGTCGACAGCAGGGTGGTCTCGAGCATTCAACGTGAAGAGCATATTGGTATCGTAATCACGACCTCCTCGTCCCCTTGGGCTCCTGCAGTACTCCTCCTCTGGTCAGCATTCAGCCTGCCACGCATGATACCCAGCTCCACTTTCCAGTTCAAGCAACGGTTGAAAGTTGTTGGTCTTGTTTCCAACTTGCCCTCGCTCTTTAGCCGCAGCTTGGTACCGCAGAAATCTTTCGGGATGTCGAGCTTGCGCTGCTCCCCCTTAGCTGCAGCGGACTTCCAGGTCTCAAGCTCTCGCAGCTTCTTCTTCTGTACCGGTAGTGGTAGCGTGAGCAGGTATTTGTCTTTTTGTATCGTACCTGGGCTCGTCGTGCGTGTCTTCCCTCAACGCCAGTCGAACCTATGCCGCGCGCCATCTTCTCGACCTCGTTTTCCTCGGTGGTGCAGTCGAAGTTGACCTGCTTCAGGTAGAATTTCGTATTCTTGAAGGGCGGCTTGTTTGAGAGCTCGCGTGGCTGCTTTTTGTCGACGTGGCTATCACGCCCACGCGGGAGTTGTGCAGTAGTTCAGTCTCAAATGGATCGACGTTGAGCGCGTATTGCTAGATCTCCCATCCCTTATTCCGAGCCGCAAAACGATGAGCCAAAGATTATGGTTCATTTGGAACCGAGCGAGACTTTGAGAACGCGTGCGGAAAGATCTGGAGATCGCTGCTCGCTGCTCTTGCAAGAAGTCGGGCATTCTTGTGTGGTCTCCCTCCCTGCCCCTTATCGTGATAGTGGTCTCTAGGTCTGGTTTCGACCGATGCGGAGAGCACTCTGGACATCACCACCTCTCGGAACCCTTCGATGCGGCTGCGTGTAGGCCTGTGTCGACGCCGTGAGATGCGAACAATCCCTCGCCCCAGAAGGGATTTGCTGCCCAGTTTGACCTTCTCAGCTCACCTCGAGCGTGTTCTTGGACTCCAGCGATCCCGAGGTGTCGAAGTGTATCATTGAGAAGCCAGCTCTTGTTCGCCTTGTATCAACAGCTTGACGATAAATAACCCTGCAAAGGCACTTCTTCGATCCTGCCGATTCCGCAGCTCGTAGCATCGATATTGATCCTATACAGTCCCGCAATGACAAAAGTGTCCAAGGAACGCATCGTTGTAGCTTCCTCTCCTGTCACACCTCCACAACAACCCCAAACGGTCTCGCCACACCATTTCCTCCACTCAAGTGAAGTGAAGTGAAGTGTAGTGACACCGCCGTTGCCTACCCGCAGCCTGATGACGAAACCACAACATCATCACCTGATTGAGGCCCGTGCTCAGCGTCTACAAAAGCCCCTTCTTCCGCTCTTTTCCTTCCTTTCCCTTTTCTTCTTCATAATTATTTTTTTATGTGTGAAGTGCCAGGACGGCTTTCGAGCCGATCGAGCTGGTCTCGATGCTTGGTGCTTTGCGCTCCATCTCTCACTCAGTTTTTGGAACCTTCACATCTTTTCATCAATGTTGCTGGCCTCGTGGGCCCGCTGCTTGGAGAAGAGTGTCGTTGTCATATCGCTGCCGCCGCCCTCGAGAGTAGGTGGGTGGGTGCTGTGTGGGAGGGGGGCTTGTGCGTGTGGGTTTGAGGGATCTGCTGGCGATGCTTGTCTTGAGTAGATGTTGCTGGAGTCTTCGCTGACCTGGTAGGCCGTAATGTCGTCGCACGCGTTAAAGGAAGGCCAGTGCTATCATTGTGGAACCTGGTCGTGGGAACGGCATATCAGGAGATGGTGAACAGTCACAGGTGCGAGCATCACATCAGCGCCATCGTCCATCGTTCTTCCTTGCGTCGCAGCAGCTGGTGGATGCTTAAAGAGTCTGCGAGAAGCGTGCGCCATCACCAGACGCCGCCCGTCAACAAGCTCCGCCATTGAACTTCTTCGCCATGTTCTTTCCTACCCAGTCGCTGTCCAAGTCTTGACCTGAGCTCACTTCTCACAAGGACTTTCGACCAAAACACCTGATTGCCAGCCACCATTCGCGGCCCTCGCGTTTGTTTACAGGCCGCATTCGAAGGGCAGAGGCGCGACAGCACGAAGACTCCTTTGGATGAGTTGCTACGATACATTCAGATTCAGATTTCTCGGTACATGATCCGCTCACAGCCACTTGATTCAACACGGACGACCCACCCGCCCACACTTCCATTCGCTCTGGAAGGCGAGACCTCGAACCGTGAACGACCGCTTTCACCGCCCGATTCCTCGACGTAGGCTCGAGAGCTTCCGAGACGATACGACAGCAGCCTGCAGAGAAGAAGCACATGGCGAGTTCGTTGAGGTTGGAAGATGTGCGACCGCCGACAGAGCCTTGAAAGCGCTCGGCGCTGAAGACGATGGATGACGGTGCGATGGCAGTTCATGCGGACAGTACCATATCACATCACTTGGACTGGAGAAAACGCAAGCAGGAATCAGATTTGACGCCCACAGAAGCTAATGTGGCCGAAGCGAGAGAAAGAAAGGACGTCGGATGGAAAGAATTCGTCCAGAGACGTGACTTCAGCAGCGCGAGCTTTCGACAATTCCAGGAACTTCATTCAAAAGAATCGAGGACATTGATGCTCTCACACATCTTCTTTTCCATCCGCAAGATTGAGTCGGCGACGATGCTCCTGGCGATCCGATCTGCGGTGGAAAGCAGGCATGGTTGTGTATGTATGACTGGATCCGGTAATCGAAGCACCCGGCGCAGCCAATACAGAGCCGTACAATACGATGCGGCATGCCAATGTTACAGTGCGTCAAAACGAGGGGACGCAATCCCCGAAGCAAGGACATCGCTGCTCGCGGTCGTCAACTCGTCGGGTTCATGTGGTACGTATGTACAAGCCAGTTCAAAGCCGACTTGGCACATGCCTGCATTTGACGTGCCCATCGGGAGGGAACCCCCAGCCTTGTTGCTCCTCACTTATCGGCATCCTCGGTCCATGCCGAAGTCAGTTGATTTCAAGGTACAGCCTCTTTCACGATCCGAGGGACCGATCGAGCGGTAGATTGTGGGTGAAATATTGCACCTCCGCGCCCCCTGAAAGAAATCGCATGCATGGCCTCGGCACCAAGATCTGCTTCTTGAACGGGGCAGCCAATGATGGATCATGGATAGCGTCTTGTGGTGCCGCCATCATGCTGGAGTCTCTTTGCGGTGTTCCCTGCTCATCAGATAAGCTCTTCGATGCCATCTCATCTCATCAGTTCTTCATGCAGGGGTCTAGAAGATGCACGGACAGCGACAGTCGCACTTCCGTGATCCCCGACGTGGTGGAAACCCTCCTTCCTACACCTACATACATACACACTCGCTGCCACCATCTCATCAATTCATTCTTCACGCTACCTGATCTCCGCGGCCTGACATACATCTGCATCCGCACGGCGCATCCCAATGCCCATCGCAGAGCTGATCTCGGGACAGCGGAATCCTCGGCACCGAGAGATGCAGCCAGACATGGAAGTGCCTATGAAGATGAGGCTGGGATCATATTCTAGTCGTTGAGGAACAACACTGACCTGGTTGGTCGTCATTGCATGAAGAAGCAGGGTCGGCATTCGGTTGTCTCAGCCTTGTGAACTTATCGTGTTCAGGCGAAGATCGATCGAGTGTGGGAATCGAGATCACGAGAAGCCTGCATCTGCCGAAGCAGGGGTATCCATCATGATTCGAGGTCAGATTCACGATGTCCAACATGGACTGTCGCATCGTGGTTGGTTGCGAAAGCGCTGTCATCATCATCATCCATCAAGAAGGTTTCAGCTTGGAGTTGTTGCCAACGACATGGCTTTCATCATGGATGTCCTGTATTCTGAGCGGCAGAGATTGCAACAGGGACTCGATGATGTTTGACCGGTACAACCCAGTGGACAGCAGCGAGCATTTTAGAATATCCAGCGGGAGTGATCCGACGACATGCCGCAGCTGCGAACGAATTGCCGCCTCAGGGGCTCAATGGGGTGAATATCTCCGGGCAGTCTTGCAGAAGATCCTCCATCTCGGTTCGGTTCGAGATGTCGAAAAGGTGCTTGAGTTTGGATTTTCGGGGGCCAGGGCAATCAGATGATGCGGCAACACGTAAAAGGCGCGGAAGTCGAACCGCACTTGATTCTCCGGTGGCTTCGTCAACTCCTCTCTTCGAGTCTCAAGCCTAGCGGGCAGCTTCTGGAGCATATGGACTCTTTCGTCATGCTTCAACCCTTCAGAGCACTTGTGATTGAAGTTTCCTTGGATTTGCGATGCCATATGAGACGTGGTGAAGATCTTCCAGTGGCGCGCACAAACGTCGACGACGACTCAAGTGACAGACCAGTGTGCTGCTCATGAGCGCTCCATTCCACTTCTCTGCAAAGTCAACCCCTCATAAACACTTCCACGTCAAGCGCGGAAAGAGCGCAGGATCTTGGCGAGTACTTCCATACCCGCTCCCTGAAGTCCAAGGAGCAAACGGGGCGGGGCCTAGTACTCGATTCGTCACCAGATCCGAAAACGGAATTTGCAGGATCCGCAAATCTTCCGTGCGATAGTCTTCCTTCAGCGTCCAGAGCCTGATTGCTCGTCGCCTCTCGGAAACGTAATTTTGACCTCGTTTGCAGTGAGGATGAGTCGCGTCGTAGAGACATCTGATCTCGAGACCGCAAATGCAAATTGTCTCATTATACGAAGGAAGAAGTGTTGTCAAAGTCTCGAACTGTGCTGGTGTTCGGGTGATGATCTCCAGGCGAAGTTGGTGTACAGTAAGAGATTTCTTGCCTCATGCAATCGATGTTTCTTCCTTGGAGGGTTGATGAGTGTTTGCATCTTTCGGGGTTGCTTGTCTTCGTAGAATACATGCGAGCCGCTCGACAGTGTTCACAAGCCGTGTGGTGAACAATGCCCGGTGGCGATGTGTCTGGGGTCAGTAGAACATACTTATCTCGCCTGGCAAGGAGTTTGGCATTGGCACACATGTTGAGAGCCGCGGGAGATATGATTGTGAGAGAGAGAGGTATGTCAAGTGAGGCTCGTGCTCATTTTAGAGACCTAAGTTGTTGCAGTAATGTCCCCGCTTGCAAAGTCCCAACTTCGAGAATTAATATGCAGCTTGCCATCTACAGGATTCTCTGAGTATATGGTCAATCATCTATACGCTTACACCACCTCGCCAAGCCATGCAGACTGCGTCCAGATCGCCGTTTCCTGCCCCTACTGTCTGTCCGTGAAGAGCAGTTCGCCATCATCCAGGTGTATGGCTCCACTCTTACGACTTTATGCAAGCACCTCATGTATGCTATGCTATGCACGACATGCGAGCATGCTACCTGCTGCCATCACGAATCCGCCATGGTGAAGGCAAGTCGTCTGGGGATGCGAGGAGACGTCTGCACAACGACACGTATGGAATGGCCGAGACCGAGGCCCTGCTACGGGCCTTCTTCCCTGTATGGTATATCTCTCGCGGCTTGAACGGGTCGTCTGCGCGTACGTGGCTGCGAAAGTGTAGCAGAGGTCCCATGACCTCCTCTCCCGTAGCCGTTCAATTTGGTCTACTCGTGGTTCAGGCAGCTACGAAGCACATTCAGAGTGTCGAGGACCTCTGCCGCTTCCGTTTGGGCGAGGGGCCGTCGAATATGTCGTGGTTTTGTTTGATCTGGTCCGGACACTTTCATTGCGTGTAGCAAGAGGACGGCGTTTCATTGTCCGGGGAATTCTGCGCGCCACGGTCGGGAGCACTTTGATCGAGAGTCTCCGTCATGACCAGCGACAGCAGTTGATGATACTCGGCGCGTGCGGTGTGGAGGAAGACGAAGGCTTCCATGTAGGTCTCAATGGCGTCGAGAGGGAGGACATGAATCTGGAGCCGCGTCGTTACCGTGCGTATGATTGCTAGTCCGGCGTCAGGATAATGGCGGCTCAGCGCGAATACAGTCACCATGGCCCAGAGGAGCAGCTGGTCATACAGCGGCAGACACGACACGCTACGGCCCAGGTCTGCGACCTCATCGCACATTCCCGCCACGTCCACTTCATTCGTGCCGGCTTCTTCTGGTCCGCCGGCGAGATGATTCAGCATGGCTATGCCGGTGGCCTGGAGGATAATATGCATTTCGAGGTTGATTCGGTCGGCTTCTTTGTCGGTCTCCTTGGTCGTGACCAGGTCGCGAACTCGGGGCTTCGTGTTGAACCACGTGATGGAGGAGGCGAGAGTCTGGATGGCCTGGCTCCTGGAGGGTCCCGAGGGCATGCGTTCGATGGATTGGCAGCTGCATACTGCGTGGACCAGGCGCCGGTCGAGATACGTCCTCTCCGAGATCCACGCAAAGCCGATGTTGGCGTCGGCCTCCAGCTCGAAGATCCTGGTCGTTTCCTCGAAGGGTTCGGGGGTGACGCCTGATCCAAAGGTGTTGGCAAAGCTGATGATTTGGGCGAAGAGATCGTGTGGCTGCTCGTCCTCCTTGAAGTGCGATTGCAGCAGCTTCAAGCCGTCGCAATGGGCTCGACAGGCGTCCTGAGAACCCCACCACTTCTCCCAGCTGCCCAGGATGGCGATGCCGATCAGGAGGCCAAAGTCGTTCTGGAAGTTCTGGGCGGGCGCATCGAGCCGCTTGTTGATGCTGCGAATGGCCATGTGGCGGAAGGCCAAGGTCATGAGCGACGAGCCTGGGTCTGCCGCGTTTCTCGCGCCGACCTGCGCGGCGGCGGCGAGCATCAGCGCCCAGAAGCACGGGGGGCTGGACAAGGCCATGTGCGGCAGCTCCGTCTGCCACGAGTATCGTCGGCCATAGCGGCGGTCGTGCTGCGTGGGCAGGCGCAGGTCCAGCAGGGGCGCGACATGCGTCATGAAGAGGTTGAACAGCGAGTGCAGCACGTTCGGATCCTTCACCACGTCGAAGTCGATGGCATGTGACGAGAAGGGGTCGATGCGCGCGGCGCCGACTTCCACAGGCGTGCGCGGAGGGAATGCGAGCGTCGAGCCCGGCTCAGGGGCTTCTTGCTTGACTCTCTTCCCTCCAGATGCGTGTGCGTGTGCGTGTGAGCCAGCAGCATCCCGCCGTCCAGGTCCAGTGGCCGTCCGCTTGTGGTGCGTCGCGGCGATGGTGGCCTTCCGCCGGCCTGCCGATGCGAGCGCCGCTTGTCGCCGGACAATCTTTCGTATGGTGGCGGGATCATTGCTTTCAGGCAGATCCAGCGATTCACCCGGCCCTGTCTCCGACTTCGTGCCCGATGGTAATGATGGCCGTCGGGCGGGATTCAGGACGATGACGCCGTGCTGCCCCGTCCCAGCTTGCATGGCGCCGCCAATGTACGACGGGAATGCAATGCGTGCGAATCCGTCGAAAACAGGTGTTGTGCTGCCCGCGCGCTGCTTGTAGAATATGTGCCGAATCGAAAGCCTTTTGGTTCTGCCTCGATTACGGTTGCTTGCGCGAGCACCGGCATGCTGGTCACAATGGCGACGGCCCGGCCATTGCTGGCTGCGTGAGGGTGATTAAACCGTATAGCAAGTCAAGCCTTCGATGGCGATGTTGGCATGTACTGTTCCTAGTCATCGACCGGCCCTTGCAGGGATCGACCATGTCGGCCGAAAACGCACTGCAAGGCCAGCGACGCACGACGATGCAAGCATGTGAATCTGACTTTGCACAACACCACGACGTTGGAAGAGTGACCAGGCCGATACCACCCATGCCACGTAGAGCCTGCGTCGGTCCCAGTGAAGATCAAAGTATTTCGCATGTGACCCTTCTCAAGACCAGTACGACCGACGGCATGAACGCCCCAGGGCCCAGGTTCACCAACAAACAAAATCCCAGAAGCCATTCAAGCAAAACGCTGACCAGTCTCCCTCAATCGAGACCCATCCCTGAGTCTGACAAGGGCTTTACTGAAACCTTTAATACCTCTCGTTCTGCCTCACTAAGACGGATGTGGTAGGAACTCTTCACTCGTGATCGTACTTTGTTTCGACTATCTTCATACACGAACACGCAGACAGGCAAAGAGTGAGCAGTCGTCAATTCCAAGAACCTGCCAACAAGAACAATGCTCGACCACCACATCATGCATCCCGAAACGACCGAGCAAGTCTTATTGCGACTTGGAGTCATCAAACCCGAAGCGAAAAGAAATCCAGTGACCACTCGGAGTGACTCAGGAGGCACCCTCTCTCCGTTCTGGATCGACAATCCTGTATTTGCCATCACCGCGACAAGATTGAAGCGCTGTGAGCCACAGAGCGACATCAAACCACCAATCGCATCCACAAACTCCATCCACGTCTCGTACAACAACCTCTACAAGAAGCCTTGAAAGGTGCAAAACCTGGCCGAGCTGCCACCGACGATGCATCCGACTTTCTCCGCCTGCTATCGAGAAGATCAACCCACTCTCGTGCGTCGCAACGGTGTGCCTCTTATTCCTGTCTTACGTTGGGATTTGACGACGGAAATGTCCTCGTCATGGGGCCAGGACCAGTACGTTCAACGCTTGTAGCTGCAGCTGGGATCGGCGTCTGTTTTCTCTCCCGTGTTGACCGCAAGAAGGAGTCGATGATTCTTGGTCCACGTTGTTATCAATTGAATGATTCTCAGCAAGGAACAGTCTGACTAGACTACAAATGTACTTTTTTTTTCCGGCTATGCTTGAACGACATCAAAGGTTACATGTCTTCATGTAGGTATTTGCCAGCCGCAACGCAACTTACTACTGAAGTTCCCTTCGATCACGGAACTCTTCCATTGATTTTCAGCTCGAAAGAATTCCTTCGTGAATACATACACAATGGTTGGCCCAGGGTATCAGTAGCGAGCGCTCTATCATGCATGGTTGATTTACCAACAGTCCGGAAGCTTTGCGGGTATGCCGTTCACCCAGCCCGGCGACATGTCATGAAAAGAAGGTTCATGGCCGTCATCAAGCGGAACTATTCCCAAAACAACGTACGTCACGACCGTTGTGATGTCAAAGCGCAGATTTGTTTGTTTGTATGCCACCTGCTAGACACGAGGCGATGGCGAGTGCATCCCAGTTGTGGGCTGAGAATAATCTGTGGAACTACCATCGATTGACTAGCAACGAGGAAATCTCATAGGCGCCGCTTGTTGTTGCTGGCGACGGATCACGCCAAGTCCAGGGAGTTATGTATACATATATAGGCCAACAAGGGTCGCTCCACGAACGACTGGCACCGTTCACTGCTTGCTGTTGTCCCAAATACGTTGTTGCCCTGGGTGGGTTCAACTGCCTGAATCGCTAGCCGAAAACGTGCCTGCAGAAGATGAAGCACTTTCAGAAACTTTGCGAGCCTATTCCATCTTCACTACTTGCGCCGTCGAACGCCGACCAGCATGATGAAGGCACAGGAACGCACATCGGTTACAAAACGCTGTTTTGGAGACCCATACCACCAGCGAATCGTCAGCCTCCGCCGCCTATGTGGTAGTTTGTCACTCCGGATAACTTGATAATATGTACGGGTATCATCTGCTTCAGAACCGCAGTCGCAGGGCTCGGAGGCTCGTCCACAGGGTGTAGAGAGGACCACCGAAACTTTGAAATCGCTTCTTGGCCTGTTCATCATCAGTCCAACAAACGTGTCTAGTAGTGAGTCTGGACCACGCTACGAACACGTTGTGCGGTGAGTCTATAAGGCGTGGTGGTCGGTTTATGCTCGAGACCGGGGCACGTTCGTGGGTGATGACTGGTCTGGGTCGTATGACTTGTCTAATAGTGTCATGGACTCGACTCCGCTTGCCGTATGGCATCCTTGTAGTAAGCGTTCTCCACATGTGCGGGTCGTGAACTCAAGATTTGGACATGATTTATGATTTATCGGAAAACGGGAAAAGTTTGGGGGGAAGGTAGTACTGTAACACTACTTACCATCTCAAGGAAGGTTGCTGCTTAACCAATCTAGCAGTCAACTAGCCTCGAGCCCTGCACAGACACCAGACCAGACCCCTGCGCTTTCCAACAAGCCCTGTGTGCTGGCGACACCGACACGTTGTGGTCCTCGTGGGTCACTAGAAACACGCAGTCGTCGTATCTAGACACTTTACTACAAGTCTGCTCGAGCGATATCATCAGAACTTGCATCTCGAAAGACAATGACTGACCGCTGGAGAGATATTACTGCATTTGGCAACGTTGTGGTATTGGAGCAACAAGCCCCTTTATTGAAAGACTGTTGTCTGGATCCTAATCTGGTCGAGTAGCATGCTCCGTTGATGCCTAAACAAACCCTCATGGCTGCTGAGAAGATCACCAACACGCCATCACAGCTTATTCTATTACGGGACTTCTGGACTTGTCATCAGACGGCAAGTCTTGCCTGTTGCCCCTGGTGCGATGTTATAGTCGTTGGAGATGGTGGTCGAGAATCGAGATGTCATAGTCACTGATAAGGACTCATGCCTTCATCTCAGAAGGGTGACAAGCATCTTTCTCAGCTTGTTGTGGTCTGCGATGTATTAATATCACCCTGGCATCTCATGTGAATACCCCAGCCGTCGATCTTTGGCTACCACTCGGCGAGCACTGGTAAGAGAATGCTTTTGCTCGTCTGGCCCGGATCGTAGAGTGTGCATGTCAGACTTAGTGGAGCGAGCGACGCTTATGTCTTGCCCATAGCTGTTGATTGTTGATTAATCACAATCACCTAACCGTTATTACAATCACAATCTCAGGTGAGTAATTAATCGTCAATCACAATCGCTATAATTATGTAATTACTGTAGTGGTAAGCGTTATAGTTAAGAAGGGTACTATTTCAAAGACTATAGTTATTGTTAGCAGTTATTAATACATTATCTTCGTGCTCTACGCCTTCTAGTAAATACAGCCCTTCTAATAGCATGTGAGCAAGGCCTATAGACTGCTAACTCTTTAAACACTTACTTATCCGGATAGTGTTACTACTAAGTAATAACCGCTCCTATAATATCGTACGCCGGCTCTTACTAAAGGTCCGCTCGGACTCTACGGATATAGCGAATACGGACAATAGGTCGATAGCAAGCCGTGCGAGTGCTAGATTAGCCGATTGTTGCTGTATCTACTACTTAATTAGTATTATAGAAACAGGCCTATTATTATAGTTTTTGCCGACGATTGGAAGGCTAATCGGTAGTCTATAGATAAAGGCTTCGAAGGCATCCTCGTCGCTAGCAACAAGGTCGGCTTATAACTGTATTTGCTACCGTTCTAGGTTAGTAAGACCTTCGAGGTTGCGCTTAGAAGTTAAGTGAGGAGTACTATGTCTATAGCGTTGTTTGTAGTCTTGCTATAGACCTCTAGCTTCTAATAAGGCGGCGTCTATATCAATTGCTAAGCACTTATTCAACTACGCGAGCCTTCGAGTTAGATATAGAAGGACTACCGCGGCATAGACGCAGGTCTATTAGTTAAGTCGATAGTATTTATCGAATAGCTGTCTTACTAGCTGAATTAAACGGATAAGAGGTTAACGCCGAGTGTTGTCTTCCGCTAACCGAGTAAGGTAGCTTCTTATATACTCTATAGCTTCTTAGTACTAATTCAGTATCACTGCGTAGCCTTGTAGCTTAAGAGTGACCTCTTTGAATAGTATAAGGAAGTTATAAGTATGCTATAGAATAGACCATTCTTCGGTAGTAAGCTAAGCGTCCCTTAAGTGCGGCATTCTATCGAAGAAGCTATTTAATATTGGCCTCGTTTGCAGTGCCTCCTTAATTATAAGGAGCTATCTATTCTAGCGTGTTTTACCTAGAATCTTAGGTGTTATAGTAGGCAGTGAAGGCTATGCCTTATATACCTCCTTAAATACGTTAAAGTTGTCGTTCTAGCGTAGAAGCTTAGCGAGTAAGAATAGCCGTTATAATAGACCTTGCTTAGCAAAGGAGTCTACGTCTATGTCTAGCTACTTCGAGATAGACACTATATCGCTATCCGAGTCTATTATAGACAGTTTAAACTCCTCGCTCTCGGTAGACTCTTTATTCTTAGCGAATATAAATGCCTACGTTATCCGGTTGATAATGTGTCTAATATAGCGTAGATAGCGCTTCCGGAAGTAGCTATAGCCTTCTGCTTAAATGAAGGTCTCTACGGCTATATAGAGGGTCTTATTGTTAGAGCTATTATCAGCCGTTATCTAGCCGATCTTGTCTATTATATTAAAGACCTTGAAGCTATTAATAAGCAGTAGCGCGAGGAAGTCGCCTATATAAGAACCGACTAGAAGCGGTAGAAAATCTAGTAGTACTTGAACTAACTTACCCTTATTGTTAATATACTAGCAATTGATAGCCTAGAAGTGCTTCCTACTATACTAAGCCTTCTATATATTAGTACTAACGTAGATACAGCTTAAGGCGCCTAATAAGGCTTGTTTAACGCGCTCTCGCTAATACTCGAAGTTGTAAAGAATATAGCTAAAAAGGGTCGTATATAAGCGTAGAAGTACGTATTTAGCTTATAGGTTGACTGCTAGTATTAGGTTATTGAACTCCTTCGTTATAATAGCACTATATAAGACACTAAGTGCTGTAATAAAGCGAGCAAGAGCGTATCTAAAGGTCTTCTTATCCGCTGCGTTCTTTAGTATATTAACGGTCTTCTATGCCTCAATATCTACGTTCTTCCTAATAGTAGCTAAGAAGTCGATTACGCTCTGTTTCTTGCTATTATCCTTCTCTTTTATACGACTAACGATAATTTGATGCTTATAGAATAGGTGCTCGGCGGCGTTGCTAGATTGAGACTAAAAGCGCTCTGTATCGTTATTACTATAGTATCTATAGTAGAATACTCGGTACCGGCTGTTCTTAACCCTCTTAGGCTCGCTATTCTTTAGAGGTCTCGAATAAGACTACAACTCCGGATTACGCCTATTACTAGCTCTCTTTCGCTTCTTAGATAGTATAGGTGTCGGTATCGGTTGCGTAGGTGTTGCTAAGGACGAGAAGGACTGTATAGGAAGGAATAATGGGTTAGGTATTAGCTAAGGAGGTTATATAGGTTGATTTGGTAGCAGTAGTGTAGGATTTGGCACCTCTCCGGCTTCGCTATCTTCGAGGTCGCTTAGATCGCTCGAATCTTAGGTAAATAGTATCCGTTGCCTATCCTACGTTTCCCGTTGTGTTTCTTAGCCCTTACGGAAGTTTTCTAAGAGCCGTTATAAAGGCTTAGGGTTTTTGCGTGTTTCTACTATAGTAAGGAAATAGTAGAAGTTATAAAAGGATAGAGGTTTAGAAAATTTGAGTTTAATAGGGCTTACTAAGGTTTAAGGCGCGAGCCGAGGCCGCTCGGTTAGTCGACTCCGGAGGTTCCTATTAGGCTTTAAAGACCCTAAATAATATAATTAATAGGAACAGGTAGGCGCGCAAGCAACTAGAATACTAACAACTCCTACTATTCTATATTCTAATCCTTTACAATACTACTAATATACTCCTTTACGGCAGCCTCGATATATAAGGCGTTACGAGTACGCTATATAGCGAGCTCGACCTTTAATTTACACTCCTCGCCTATATATAGTAGACAAGGGTCGCAGGCGTAGGGGTTAAGAAACCTAAAGTGCTTCGCCCTCTCTTCTATCCTTAGTATACGCTCGCTATACACCTTATAGCGACAGTCCCCTAGATATACGGCTATATAGTTGCCCTTCTTACGGATATAATTCTCGAAAGCCTCCTACTTCTTAGTAAAGACGTCGAGCTCGGCATTCTTCGTAATTAGTCGGTGTTCTATACCTTCGTATTCCTTTAGTATACGGCGAGACTCTTGTAATAACCCTTCTATAACAGCCTACTAAGCCTCTATTTCCTTATACTATTAATTAAGCTAATCCTAACCTTTTACCGTCTTCTTAGGGTTCTTACGAAGCCTCTTAGCAACCGGTTCTTCTTCTTCTTCTTCCTCGGAAGCGCTAGATACACTATTGGCGATAGACTTCTTATTGCTAGGCTTCTTGTCGATAGGCTAAGTCTAAGTCTATAGCGGCGGCAGCGGTAGTAGCGATAGTAAGGTATCGATAAGAACCTCTACCTCCGATTCTAACTCGCTATCTAACAGCTATACGATTAGCTATAGCAATAAACAGTTGTAAGAAGGGTATGTTAGCAGGTAGATAGGGTAGTAGTAGGTACGAGTAGTATTCGATAAGGAGCTAGGAGGAGAGGGAGGAAGGCAGGAGAGTTGGCCTAACGCTAAGCGCTAAGCCCTACCTAAGGCATTAAGACCCTAGCTTCACTCGGCCTAGTTATATGCCAATTACGTATAGCCTCTTTGGCCCTAATATACGCTTCCCTTCTAAAGGCCGCGCCCTCGTAGCCGGTCTTTATCCTAGTCTTAACCTCTATTGCTGCTAACTTAGCAGATCTAATAAGCTGCTTAGCCCGCGCTAAATTAAACACTTAACTATCTAATTATGTAACTATGTTAAACCTTACCTCTAATAACACAATATACAACTCTAACTGCGCTATCTCTATATATAATAAACTATAAAGTGATATATATTTATAAGAATTGAAGGCCTTCGACTAATTATAATACGAGCGCGTCTTCCCTACTGTAATAGGTAGACGTACGAGGTATTGCAGCACTGCCTCCGTTCTAAGTAATATCGTATCGAGTTCTTTACGTCTACTCTTAAAAG